TTCTCTTTGTTTTGGTTTCTCCTATTTAGCACAGGGTTTTCCTTCACCAGGTATTCGCATGCTACTCCTTGGCCTGGCATGCTTTATTTCAGTCATCTAGTTAACTCCAGTTCATAGGCCTCAATGCCTAAATAAGAGCTGTATTTAACTGGGTACACTTCCTGAGAAAAAGTGTCTTGACCTACCTAAGTTAAAACCCTAGTTTTAACCTCTCATAACACAATGTACCACAATTGCAATTAAAAAAAAAATTCTGTGACTATCTCTTCTATCAATACTATAAACTGTAAACTACACCAAGATAGGGAGTGTGCTTGTTTTCACTCATAATTATATACCCCGTGCCTACCATAGTGTCTGTCACATGCATTCAATAAAAAATTTGTTTAAAGAATTAACAGATTCAAGACCTTTTAACTATTGCCCACTTAACCAGCCAATCATATTTCCTACTTTTACCCAATAGAGACCTGCAGTTCCAATTAGAGAGGGTAATACCTATCTCCATATCTTTTCATCCTTATTTAGATACAAGACCTTTCCTTCTCTACTTCTTCACTTACATAATTCCTCCTTTTTTCTACATGGTATAGGTTACCAAATTTCCATTTCACAAAACTCTCCTTAATATTCCAGCCCAGAACAGTCTCTTCCAAACTTCTATATCACTTTGTATTTCTATGACACTCTACATCATTTTGTATTTCTATGATGAATATAATTCATCATATTCTGCCCTGTATCATTGTATTTCATAGATAAGTATTTATTTTTCTAAATATAAGCATTGTTAAGTTGTATGTTCTAAAGGGTAGTATATAGTATAATTAGCTACTGGAGTACCCAGGCACTCTGGAAACATTTGCTAAATTAATTAATGAAGATTTTTCTGTGGACTGCAATGAGACCTCAGCCTGCAATTTATTACCAAATCCCCAAATGACAATTCTCCTTAAAGAGTATCTGGATATTTTATGCTATTTCTCTAGGAATACTTCCTCCAGGATCACTTTTGATCGGTAGTTCAAAACAAGTGTGATGGAAGAAAAGTAATTTACTATTTTAAATTTTCTGACAAAATTTTCTGACATAATAAGAGAAGTTCCATACTTAGGTATTTCTAAATACATTACAAATTAATATACTCCATTATTCTTTAGGATAATTCTACATTATTAATCCTTGTTTATATCCCATGAAGGTAGGAGTATTTTAAAATATTTTCCGTGGATTAATTTCTATTTCAATTTCACTGAGGAAACTTTCTTTCTTTCTTTCTTTCTTTCTTTCTTTTTTGGGCTGTCATCATACTGTTATTCTACACTGAATATCATTTACCATAAGCCATTTAACCCTATGTATAGTGCAGGAATGTATTTCAACTTTTTTTGTCAGACTAAGATCTAATTAAGAATTTTTTTCTCTCAAAATCAGAGAGAAATTTATTCAAATTAATCTAAGTCTTATATGAAAATGAAAGAGCCAAGGAAAACAAACTTGATAGACAAGACTAAAATTCAGACTATATGTATCACCCATTTCAAATGCAAGAATTTATTTCATGAATTATCAATTATAATTTTTGCCCATAAATGCCTATATATAAACATATAAAACACATATATGATTCACACATATGTTTTCAGATCCAAGAACTTTCAACTCTTCACCTACATAATTCCTCCTCTACAAGGTAGAGTCTAAATTTCTTCACATGCAACTCTTTTTCCATTCACCTATCAATGCACTCAGAGGTTGTTACCATATCTTGTGCTAGTGTAAATAATACTGCAATGAACATAAGCATGTACATATCTTTTGAATTAGTGTTTTTATTTCCTTTAAATAAACACCCAGAAGTAGAACTGCTAGATCACATGATAGTTCTTCTTTTAATTTTTTGAGGAATGTCCATACTGTTTTCCATCGTGGCTGCATCACCTTAGCTTCTCATCAATAGTACATAAGGGTTTCCTTTTCACCACATCTTATTTTTCTGGTGATAGCCATTCTGACAGGTGTAAGGTATGACCTCATTGTGGTCTGATTCATTTCCTTGATAATTAGTGATACTTAGCATGCTTTGTGTCTGTTAGCCATCTGTAGGTCTTCTTTGGAAAAATTTCTATTTCATTCCTTTGCCCATTTTAAAAATCAGATCATTTGTTTTTCTGTTGCTGAATTATATGAGTTCTTTATAGAGTATGGATATTAACTCCTTGTGAGATGAGTTGCAAATATCTTCTCCCATTCATCAGGTTACCTTTTTGTTTTGTTGATGGTTTCCTAAAAATAGCAAGGCTTTTTTAGTTTGATATAGTCCCATTTGTTCATTTTTGCTTTTGTTTCCCTTGCCTTTGGTATCTGATCCAAAAACACAGTGCTAAGATCATGTCAAGGAGGTTATTCTGTTTTCTTCTAGAAGTCTCTGTGTTTTCTTACAGAGGTCCTTAATTCATTTTTGTTTATGGTGTAAGACAATAAGGTCTTATTTCCTTCTTCTGCATGTAATTGTCCAGTTTAGCTAAGATCATTCATTTTTAGAGAATAGCCTTTCTTTCTTGTATATTCTTGTCTAATTTGTTGTAAATTAATTGACCATATATGTGTGAGTTTATTTCTGAGATTTCTGTTCTGTTCCATTGATTAATGACTGTTTTATACCAATATCATACTGTTTTGATTGCTATAGCTTTGTACTATAGTTCAAAACCAGAGAGTATGATGCCTCTAATTACTTATTTTTACAGCTTTATTGAGATTAATTTACATATCACAAAATTCACCTATATTAAATGTGCAATTCAATTGTTCTAATTTATTAACAGAACTGTGCCATCATCACCATAATCTATTTTATCTTGTTTTTCAAATTGAGGTGTAATTTACAAAGTTGTATAATCATCATCACTCTAATTCTGGATCATTTTTATCACTCCTCCCTCCCACACCCCCCAAGAAAACACACCTCATTCCCACTTAAGAGCCTTTTCCAATTTTTCTCCAACACCTCCAGTCCTAGGCAATTGTTAATCTATTTTTTATCTCTATGACTTTGTTTATTCTTAATACTTCATATGATTGGAATCATAATATGTGATATTTTTAACAGTTCTTTCAATTAACATAACATTTTCAAGATTTATCTATGTTGTAGCATGTGTCAGAACTTCATTCCTTGTTATTACCTAATAATATTCTATTGTATGGCTATACCACATTGGTTTATCCATTCATCAGTTGATAGATATCTGGATTGTTTCCATTTGGGGAATATTAGCAATAATACTGCTTTGAACATTTGCATAAAAGTCTTTATGTAGACAATTTTATTTCTCTTTTGTAGATACCAGGGAGAATTACTATATCAGGACCTAATCACTCATGAGTAATAAATTTTTTTCTATTTCAAAGGGTTTTTGACACAGTCAGGAAATAGACTAATGTAAAATTCTTTTTTAAAAAATAAGTTTGTTAATCTGCTGTTAACTTGGCTATCGACAGATTAGAAATTCTAAGATGAGGTAAGAAATTTTAGTGTAAATCATAAAACTAAATGGAGTCTGCACTAGCCTAGGCTAGCATCAAATTTCTATATTTTGAGCAAGATGTATATATCTGTCTCCTTGTGGTTGACAATTGCTTATCCACAGAAAGGGAAGGCTTATGCAGTAGGAGAGGTAATAAATGCAATTTTTAAATATCAGCTTATTTTTCATCTCTAGCCCGAATCTGCTTCTCACTTCATGAGAAAACGGTGAAACATTAATTATAATTAGTCCTGTAAATTACCAAAATTTTTCATAAAAGCTACCCTTTCAGAAATTGGAGATCAAATAAACTTCTGGTCACATGTTATTTCTGGTTTATTTCCTGGCAATGCACACACTAGTTCAAATATATTCAGGAAGCAAACTTCGAACAGAGAAGAGCTGAATTTAAAATTCTACGTAAAAAAAAGCTTAAAACATATCTTAAATTTAAGAAAATCAAACATCTTGCAGCAGAAATTAGGAATACTGCAAGAAAACCATCACATGTCCTGCCAATCACTGAGCACTAGAGAACGCCACAGGTCGTGCAAAATGCACATTCGTTTAAACCAACAGCACTTTTCCTCCCGCCAAAGCCGTCCCAACAGCCGCAGAGAATAACCTAACCAGCGGCTGATGATTTTCCCCTTTTGATTTCCCACCCTCACCTCCCCCCGCCCCAAACACACACATCCACCTGCTTGGAGGTGTCAAGGCGACTAGAAATGGTTAACAGGCAGCAGCAGCAGCAGAGAGAAACAAACACCCTGACAACCCACAGCTGAGTAAGCAAGAGCTGTTTATTCACGAACATATTCCATTTGGAGCCTGTCGGGGAGCCTGTGAAAGCCCGGGCACAAGGTTCCTAGAGGGAGAAAATAATCTTTTCTCCCTTCCCCGCCCAAACACTCGTGAGAGGCTCGGGTGGGAACCATCTGATCCAGAGAGTCCCTGCCCACCCGCCCCTCAGGAATAACCACCTCAGGCTCTCGAGCATCCGACCCCTAGCCGGGGTTGTGTAACTCCCCAAAATGGGCTCAGGCACGGCAGGGGCTGGCCCCAGCGCCAAGCAGCTCCAGCTACCCCACCCCGCCACGCCAGCCCGACGCCGCGGAGGGCAGGGGACCCCGACGAGTAATGGCCATCCAGCCCCCTCCCCTCACCTGGCTCGATCCCACCTGCGGGCAAGAGCACAGGAGAAAAGAAACAGGCAGGGAGAGCTGACCTTGTTGCTACTGACAGTGGAGCGGCACATTCTGCTGCTTCCTGGAAAGCGGCCCGAAGGACATTTTTCCCCTTGGAGGAAGGAAACGGGAGGGCGCCGGCCGGGCGGCCACGGGCTGGGCGGCGGTGGTCGGGGCGGGCTGTGCAGCCTCCGGCGGGGACAGTCCGAGGACTACATCTCCCAGGCTGCTCTGGGCCGCCTTGCGTCGTGACCCCGGCGCGCACGGAGGCGGCGACTCTTACCTCACAGAGGTAGCTCCTCCGCCTGCAGCGACTCGGCGCCCGCGGTCCATGGACCGGAACCCCGGGCCGACGGGCAGGAACCCGGGCCGCGATCGCCGCCTCCCCGCCCCAAGCTCCTCCTCCTCGCTTCCCACCGCCTCCTCCGGACGCCCGCAGGCCGCGCGCCGCTGCCGCCGGGCTCGCGGAGCCACCCCAGGAGGCTGGGTGGCGGGTTCGCGGCTGCCGCCGGGCTGAGGCCTACTCCGCCGCTTCTCAGTGCTATTGTCCCTGGGCCCGGCGCCGACCGGGTTCACTGGGGAGGGTCGAGCGCGCCGGCTCCGCGGAAGATGCCGGACCAAGCCCTACAGCAGATGCTGGACAGGTAATGGGCAGCCTTGGGGGCGAAGATGAGCCGCGTTCGCTCTAGCCCTCCCCGCACTGCGCCTCGAGCTGTTGGGGAGCGGAGCCCGGCGTGCCGGGAGGAGTTCCACGACCTGGGGGCCGGGTGGGGGGCAGAAAGTTTGGCGTCTGTACGTGGGGAGGACAAGAGTAGGCGGCCTAGGTTCTCAGACTTAAAGCGAAACTTAGTTAAGGTGTGGCGTCTAGTTTTGTTGGAAAGCCAATTTGAAGTGAGAGGGCTTTCTCGTAACCCACAGAATTAGTTTCTTTTTCTTACCCTCGTCTTCCATCCTCCTCCCCCCCACCCCTCCAACTGTATTGTAACGTGTTCTTTGCCAGGGATGTCACTGGCAAAAAGAACCAGTCTGCTTTTCCGGGAACTGATCCCTCTACAACTTTAAGATTTTTCAAAAACCAAGGGTAAGCATTCATTTGGAAAGCTTGATAGGCTTCCCCTCCCCTCCCCCATCTTATCTTCACCCCTCCACCCCACCCCCCAAACTGTAAGGTCAGAGTATCCACAAGGGAGCTTTAACGATCAGACCAGATTAGAGGTTATGGACAAACACCTCGTGAGTCTAACACTGAACATCACATTTTACGATTCTGTGAGTTCACTGAAAAAGTTTCATCTTATATTGGAGTCACTTGCCCACTGCTGGGGGGCTCTAGGCAGTAAAATTTACGGTGAAATCGGCTCCACCGCCCTCTGCTGTTCAAATTCTAGCCCACGGGATCTAACATGATTTTTTGGCGAGGATTAATCCATATTTCCTCTCAATCTAGTCTTAACTTGCTGGCATAGCCAATACTAGAAGGCCAACACATAATATTTGTGGTTGCTGACAGCTCCCAGTAGAACCCTGTTCAGTTAATACAGCTCTTTTTTACTGAGTAAATGTCCAACTGTAAGGTGGTAAAGACCTTTCTTGAGACTTTTCCCCGTTAAGCGATATGTCATATCCAAAACACAAATCATCCAAGAGTACAATTGCAGAATGACAGACATTTTCTTTGGAGCATAGAATTTTCACATATCTAAGTTAATAAAAATTGTGTACTGACTTTCAGTTGAGGTGACCTAATGATTAATCCCTCCCATATTTTTTTTAAAGATTTATTTACTTATGCATACAAGAGCTGGGGTACAGGCCAGAGATGATGGGGGTGAGAGGATCCATCAGAGACACAGTGGGGAACAGAACAAGCAGACTGAGTGAAATACACTGCTGAGGGGAGCAGCAGGCCAGACAAGAGAGGTTTGCCCGCCATGTGGGTCTCTCCCTGGCGGGCCAGGGATGGAACTCCTTCCGCAGAGGCTGCAGATTGCTTCACAGTGCGGTGCTTAACCCCTTACCCCCCCCTTCCATATTTGATATAAGCATTCAGGTCAGATTATAGTGACTACTCCCTTTTTGTGTGAGTAGTTTTATAAGCTTCCGGAAGGCAAAAATTTACTCATCATTATTTATCTTGATTCCTAGGACAGCTTGCTATTCAGCAGGTCATCAGTAAATATTTGTTTTGTAAACAAATGCGTGACCTTGTCATTTACCCCAGTTGTCTAGGGTTCTGATAACTTCTCCATTTTTTCTTTCATTATAATTTAGCATACTGACAAACTGCAGAGGACTACTAAAATATGCCCAGAGACCACCTCCCACCACTGCCAATTGCAATCACATGGCCCCTATTTGGTGCAGGTTATTTTGTAATTAATTTTTTTCCTTCTGAGGGCCTGCTGATTTCACTTTCACTGCTGGGTGGCTTTTAGAAAAGTTCAAGTACTGGAAAGCTAACTAGGCTTTCAAATGGTCTTTGGAGATCTCCATAGAAATAAAATGAAACCAAGGTGTGCTAGTACGGCATTTAAAACTTCTCTGCAGAAATTTGGAAATTCTGGCTGCATTTATTGAAGCAGGTGACTATAACATTGACTTAACCCTTATCTTCTGTACCTTTTGGACATAACTCAGGGTAGATTTTTAACATGCTATTCAAAAACCTTCATTAGCTGTTAGTAGTTTGCAACCTAGCTCCATGTTAGACTCACCTGAAGATCTTTTAAAAATATGAATGGATGCCTGGCCCTACCCAACTCCAATTAGCTTGTTTTGCATCTGGTAAGCAGGCATGACCAGTATCCATAGAGTCCCTACAACAGTCAAATGGAAGGAAGAGCAGGGAAAATAATCTGCTCCACACCCCTCTCCTGCTTGACAAAGTAAATTAGACCCCTCGCTCTGAATGAGTTATTGTTCACACACATACATTCCTTTAGAGGATGTAGAATATTCTGATAGGAACATGCTATATTCTCATTTTCTCTTAATTCCCATTAAAGCAAATTCTAATTCACTGTCATTCGGCATCTTTGTCTTCAGTCATTTCACTGTCCCATTTTGACAGTCACAGACAATAACTTGGAATTAAAAAGCATTTGCAATTAATTCCATTTACTTCATCTGTATGTAAAAAGTGGAAACACTGCAGATGAAGTCCCTTTTGACCGTCATCCCCCATGTCCCATCTCTTCCCTTCTTCACTCTACTCTCATGAATGGGTTTATAGTCTTCCAGTCTTCTTTGTTTAATGTTTTTACATACCATATATAAGTCATAGTATTCTTTGTTTCTAAAATATAAATATATCAGTCTACAATTTGCTTCTTAAAACAGTGTTGTGCTTTCTGTGATGTACAGCAAAGAAAATATATATTATCCATTTTATTAACATACCACTTTTTTTTCTCAATCCATTTCCATACTTAAGACATTTAGGTTCTTATTTTCTCTTTCTTTTCTCTGCTTATATTTGGCTTTCATTGTCCCTATTAGCTTTATTAAGTACACAAAGGACACCAACAATTTCTTACTCAGTAAGCCTAATGACTTTTTACTTGGTCCTCACATACTGGACATACATGGAATGAAGATGAAACTACTGACCACCACCCCCTAACTGCTGGAAGTTATGTTCAATTACACCTTAGTATTTATCTTTGGCTTCTTCCTCCCTTATATGTCACCTTTACTCCTTAAATATGGTTCCGTTCTCAGCATTTATCATTCTTTGTAAAGTGTACCCACTCACTTCATTACTATTTGAGTGACTTACCAATGAGTCTCTTTTTTTCTAACTTCTTTTTTAAGATTTATTTTTACTATTTATGTATACAAGAGCTGGGGTACAGGCCAGTGGTGTGGGAGGTGAGAGGATTCACCAGAGACAGATTGGGGAACAGAACAGGCAGACTGACCGAAGTACACTGCTGAGGGGAGCAGGGGGCGAGTCTGGAGAGGTCTGCTGCGCCATGTGGGGTTGCTCCCTGGCCAGCCGGGGATCAAACTCATGCTGCAGAGGCTGCGTATAGCTTCACAGGTTGCGTCTCAACCCCTTGCGCCACCAGGGAGGCCCTATTTCTAACTTCTTTTATACATTTTAGTGTCTGGTAGAGATTTCCCTTTGTGTATACACAGTACTATTAGCACCTTAACCTACTAAAACTAAACAAGCAGCATATTCCTGCCTTTTACTTAACCTTGATTTCTCAAATTTTGATCTTTGATATGATCATTCTTCTAGTCAGCCTGCCATAAAACCTGAGTTTTGTTTTTCTTTTTAGCTTCTTTCCTTCCAGATCTCCTTGCTTATCAGATTCTTATTTCGCTTGACTCATTTATCTTTTCCAGTTTGACTTATAGCCAGAATTGGCTAAGGTGCGATTATAATTATGTCATGTCGGGCCTCCCCGGTGGCGCAGCAGTTGAGCGCTGGGTTGCGAAGCTGCCCGCGGCCTCTGCGGCGCCGGTTCGATCCCTGGCTGCTCCCCGGCCACCGGAGGAGGATCCCACATGGTGCGCAGACCTCTCCTGCCACCCGCTGCTCCCCTCAGCAGTGTACTTCAGCCCTTCTGCCTGCTCTGCTCCCCGCTCTGGCTCTGGTGAATTCTCTCACCCTCCCGCGCTTCTGACTGTACCCAGTGCATGTATAAACAAAACAAACAAATATAATAAATAAATAAATAAAAACATGCCTCTATAAAAAAAAAAAAAACTATAAAAAAAAATAAAAAAAATAATTATGTCATGTCTATGCTTTAAAATCTACCTCTTTATCACCTATTGGATAAAATCTAAAGTTTAAAGACCTTATGAAGAAGTTTAAATCAATTAATAAAATCCATCCCCAACATACCTTAATCATACTCTTTTGTATTGTACTTCATTGTACCTGAATATATCCTGCTTTTTCATCTTGTTTTTACTTTAGGTTACTTCTTCCCTTTAACATATCCTGACTCTGTCTCGTCTTTAGAATTCCACTCATAATGTAAGTTCAAATTTTTAGCCTGACCTTCAAGATACATCTCATCATTGTTTACATACATTTATTGTGCTTCCAATTATGTGCAAGACACTGAGTACATGACTGGCACCAGCTACCTTTTTAAAGTACCTTTTTTTGCTTCTGTTTAAAAATGAGTGTATGGCCTCACTGGTGGCCTAGGGCTTAAGTCTCAGTGCTATCACCACTATGGCCTGAGTTCCATCCCCAGCCAGGGCGCTAATCCACATATGGCACAGCAGACCTCTCCTGTGTTGCAGGCTGCTCCCCTCAGCAGTGTATTTCAGTACATCCACCTGTTCTGCTCCCCTACTCTGTCTCTGGTGAATCCTCTCAAACCCTCATACATCTGGTCTACACCCCAGTTCTTCTATGCAAAAATAAAATAAATCTTTAAAAAAAAGAATGAGTGCATAAGTCCATATCTTTTGCCAAACCAGTTTGGTCAAAGTTATACCCATTTTTCAAGACCCAGTGTAGATTCTGCCTCATTAATAAGCTTTTTCTGACTGTTTCATCCAGAATTATTTTTGTTCTGCAATCATGTTTGGCAATTCATCTCCAGTACCCTGCAACTCTTTACATGCTATAGTTCATAAGATGATGAAAGATAATATTTTTGTGACACATTGGTAT